TTTTTTTGCAAATTTTATTTTTAATCATTAATAATAAACATGTTATCAAGAAAATGCTCTATTTCATCTTTATTAAATGAAGGTGCAGCAAAACCTTCACGTACAAATCCAACAAATCAAAGAAAAAAAGTTATCTGTAATTGCAACAAGTGTAATAGGTCACTTGTCGATTATAGAACGAAAGATGCCTATAAAAATAAAGTACAACAATCGCCAAAAAGGCAAAGTTTGGATTTGTCTTTTTACAAACTCACGTTATTATTACAAGAACAATCAGAAGGTTCACGTTCTTTACAAAATATCACAGAAGTTAAAATCTCTGACACTCTAGCGTCTGTTGTGAATGAATTTACGTTCGGCTCAGAGTCAGAAATCCGGCATTAAATAGGTTGATGTCTTTTAATATTGGTTATGAAAGTTCGGCTATCAAAGAATTCGGCTTAAACTCAGCAGAAAACCAAGACTTGAATGATGAATCACTTGATATGTATAGCAAAAACATAACTTTTTAAAAAGTAGTACAGAATCTGGTGAAAATTTGGGTAATAACAATGTTTTTGAAGACTATTCGGCCTCTGATTTTGATTCTGAAATGTCACCAGAGTCATAGCCAAAAATTCATCTGATTGGCCAATTTTAGTAAATCACCTGTAGATCATTTTTATAATTATTGCAATTTAATTAGTTAATTTCATAATTATTAACAATTAAAACATGATTATATAGGAATTTTTTGATTTGGTGACTATTAAAAATTCGATAATAATATTTTATAAAAATTTATTAAATTATTTAAATTATTTATGTAATATATTGCATAATCACCAGTAAATTGAACTATATGATTGTATTTGATTGTATTTGATTAGTTAATCGCTTGCCTCATTTATAAATTGCTTATGAATCGCTTATGAAACCATTTATTTATTATGCATTTGATTGTCAATTGCTTTTTCTTAGCTATAAATTGCTTATAAAACTGATCATAAAGTCACTTAATATTTATAAATTATTTTAAATCATTATGTATATCATTTAATTTTAATAATCACAACAATTCCATCAAAAATTTTCACCGTATATAATAAAATTTTTTTATTTGATATACTTTATTATTAAATTAATAAATATTACATATATATATTAAATAAAAAAAAACTAATAGTTATAATAAAAGAAATTGCAGAGTTAACCAAAATAGAAACCAAAGAAATATACAAAGATATAGAAATGTATAGACAAGATTATATTAACTCTGATACACCAGAAGCTATAAAAGAGGTAATTGCAGACATCCAGTACTTAAAGACAAAAATAACTGATGAAGTAATAAACACAGAAATAGAGCATTTTCTTGATAACATGTTTATTATTAATGATTAAAAATAAAATTTGCAAAAAAAGGCAATAGCCTTTTTTTGTAAATGAAACTTGACGATTAAAAGTGAAATTGGAAAAAAGCAATAGTTTTTTTAAACAAAACTTGCCAATTAAAAATAAAATTTGCAATAAGCAATATTTTTTTTTTTAT